GATGCACCTTCCAGGGCCTCGGGGGGTGCGCACCTGCCTGTTGCACTGGGGCCAAGCAGGAGCTCAGAATGTGTTGCTGGCATTGTCGTACTCATGATTTTTAATTTCCTGATGGCCCTCTTGGCTGCAGCTCTTCTGGCTGTTCACTTCAAGCCATGGTTTTTTTGCCCTCGGCTGTGAGGATTGTGTCACAGGGTGCTTTGACCTAGGTGGCAATAAAGCAAATGACATGAGATTAAATAAATGGAGCAACTTCTTGAGCAAAAGGTGAGCCAAGAGTAAGACAGAGCTGAGGGGTCCATACTGCACCTAAAAAGATCCCCTACAGATCCCAAAACTGAACTTGTTTTATTCCTGACTGAATATTGCTTAAACATGCAGCAAATGGGTCAAACCTGGTGGTAGAATTCCTGGCCTTGCTGGTTCCAGTCCTGCATGTCCTGTAGCTCTGCCATCACCCAACATTCCCAGCCAGCACTGTGCTGCAGGGACATGTGGGAAGTCAGCACAGAGGCTCAGATACCAGGTTTCAATGAGGGAGCTCACAGATCCTCTGGTTTTCAGTCTTTCAGTTACAGAAATTTAATACAAATCTTGAAAAAATGTTTAACCCCCATAGTCACCCACCCAGCAGTGGGAAAGTTTTGCAGTTTTCAGTTTGGGAAGTTAGGAAAATAGTTGAAGTTTGCCTGTGTGCCTTTCATTTGGCCTTCTGATTGCCTTATGTGGTGATGGAGTATCTTAATGCATGACCGCATCCTGCTTTCCCACTGCATTCCCAACTTGCTTGGAGTAAGACTGGACATGGAGAGGAGCTGCTGCCATTGGCACTGCTCATCTGCCATCTGGGATGCAAGGCTGGGCACTGGACATGGCAGGGAGAAACACTGCAGTGGTTTAAGGCTCTTTTGCAAATCTGGATCCAACCTCCCTGGAACAGATTTCACTCAAAAGAATGATGCAGCACTGGCCCTTGCAGATTGTTTGCATGTTTAACTCTGGTCTCCAGTCCACAACTTGGAAGAGGGAATATTTTTAAAAATCCTTTAGAAAAGAAAAAAAAAATGTTTGAGAAGCTCATTTAAAGAGGAAATGTTGCCCAGAGCAGCTGTGGCTGCCCCTGGATCCCTGGAAAGGATCCTGTCCAAGGCCATGTTGGATGGGGCTTGTAGCAACCTGGGATAGTGGAAGGTGTCTCTGCCCAGGACAAGGAGTGGGATGAGATGGGCTTTAAGGTCCCTTCCAACTCAAACCATTCTGGGACTCTGTGATTACTTAACCATTACTCCATATCTGTCTTTACACTGCTCTTTTTGTGCCTTCTACTTTTCTCTGAAATCTTTGACATTAGCTGAGGGCAAGACAAGGAACTGAATGGGTGAGGTGTGGCGTTCTCTGTGCTCCTGCAGAGTTACTTGTGTTGGGAACCGGGTGCCAAGAGACAGGATTCCTGAAATGAGCTTCTTCCTCCAGGTTAGAAGCTGTTTGGTGTTTGTGGAAGGAAATCACTAATACTTTGAATCATTAGTTTAACTTGGCTTTGCCAATGGTAGCTCTTTCCTTTCAAGCCTTTTTCATAATCCCAGTGCATTACTGTCAAGTCTGGGAACATGCAGAATTTTTCCAGAGAAGCCCCATGGATGTTTTTTGAGTTTGTGTTGATTGTTTGGTTTGCATGTGTTTGAGCAGGAAAAACATCTGTCTTCACATATGCCTTGGAAGTTGGCTTTGGAGAATTGTAACCAGAAGTCTCCTTCTAAAATTTATGGGATGTCAGTATTGCTTTCCCTGTCATCCCCACTCCCCCCACCACCTACACTGCAATGAAGGAAAAGGTTCAAGGCTTTTGGAGTGAGATCGATGTTTAATCATCAGATAGCAGCTATTATGGCAAAAGCTTGCTTTGTTTTCTGCCTTGCTGCCAGCTAGTTCCCCTCAAGTTTTCCATGGATGCTGTTGAAACTGTTGGCTCAGAGACAGTCACACATGAAACAGTTTCTGACTGTGTGTCATGTGCAGTAAGGTTTCCTTGCCTTCTCCAATTCTTCCTCTGCCCTCCTCTGTCCTGATTTTGGGTGATTTGTGTGGAGCAGAGTGGGCATGGTCTCTCTACAGAGCTTTCGACAGGGAGCTCACACTCTTCTTGTCATGGCTGGATGAATGTCTGATATGGGATTGAATTTATAAAACAACAAAACCATGATTGTGTGTTATTTCTGACTATGATCATTCATCATGGATTGAGTCCTTGTGGATCACCTCAGTGGTTCGTGGTGTTGGGCACCTGGCTGGTGCTTGGGCAGGCTCAGTTTCAGTGGAGCTGTCTGATGTGCTGACCTCTGTTATTATTTTATCCCTGACAGCCAGTTTCCTGTCTGTATACCCCAGAAATGAACCCAGTTTGTTGATCTGGTGGGAATTGTGCTGTGACTCATGTGTGTGCCTTTTAGCAGGGGCCACATTTCTGGCTGTGGAGTGATCCCTGTAGATTCAGCAGGACAGGGATGCTCCAGCCCCAGCCATGCTGCTGCCAGGCTCCAGAAGTGCAGTGTAATGAGACAGATTTTAGGGGCTGTCAGGCTACAAATTCTGCTTTATGAAGGAATTTGGTGCTCAGAGTGGTCTGGACCTGCTGCACTGCTGACTGTGCGAGCAGTGGCTGTGTGAGCACAGAGATCACTTATACCTCATCCAGGTGGACATCAGTCTTGGACCAGGAGATGGCTGCTGTTGGGAATGATGTGATCCTCTCTCCTCCCTTCTCAGGGGTAGTCGTGTGCTATCAAGGCTGTTTCTGCATATGCTTGGATCTATGTTTGATTATCAAACTTTTCTCTTTAAATAATTTTCTCATGCGGACTTTAGGCTCTGCATGGGTCGAGCCTTCAGTCTGAAACACAAAGTCTCAGGAAGCTTTAGGGCTGGCCCAGTTACTGTGGAGAAGCTGTTCATAGACAATGCCCTATGATTTGATAAAGTATCTGTTAAAACATGAAATGCTTGTGAGAAGCTCTTGGTTTTTCCAAATCTGGTGAGCAAGGAGCACTTGGATGAATTTCTCCATGCAACAGGATGAATGCATGGTGAATATTGAGCACATTGTTGTAGTCACAAGGCAGAGGGAAAAGTTAGGATTGTTTTTTCCCCTCAGAAAGGAGCACATCCCTACACTTTGCCTTTCATGACTGAGGCACCACTTGAGGACCAGCTATGGCACTGTGGCTTTTGAAGAGCTGGGCATGGTGAGAGCCTCTCCAGCCACTCTTCAGGGGTCTTCTCTGGGCCTGTTGCAGTTTTTGTGAGGCATTTAGGGCCCTGACATGTAAAAAAGAAATAACCAGCTGCAGTCCTTTTCAAATGGGGATTCTTCAGGTCTGACATAAAATAGCCCCAAAAAATATTTACACTGGTGTTGTTTTTTTTTTCAATGACTGCAAATAAAGTAAAAGGTTCCTCAGCATTTCTAATTTGTTTATCAGACTAGACAGACTGAATCTGGTATCTTTGTCTCAGTTAGGCAGCAGCTACAGGGTGTGCCATGGCTGCCTTTTCCCACAGTTCTGCTGTCACCAAGAAAACTCGTGGGTAACTGCACTCCCTGACCTCTCCAGCACTGCTGCCCACCCAGCCTGGGAAAGCTCAGGCTGACTGAGCCTGGAGTAAGAGGTGGGGTTGTTGCCCATGGCTGAGCACCTGTGGGGGTTTGTTTTAGGAGCTAAGTGCCTGGGGAGCTGGCTCTGTTCTGGGTGTTGTGGCTGACCCACTGCTGCCAGATGCTTTTTTCCCACTTACCTGGAGATAGTTAATTTTGTCCTATTTTCCTGGATGAAACTCCACGCCAAATGCTGGTTATCCACCATGAGCAGGTGTTGGGGTGGATCCAGGCAGATCTTCAGAGCTGACAATCAGAAGCTCAGGGAAGAATTATGAGGAAGACATGATTTTCCTTCCCTTAAAAGTAAATTCTTCCTGTGAACAGGCAGAGCAGGCAATACAGGAGGGAGAAAGTTGGGATTGCATCTAGCAAACACAAAGCCCAGACCACAGAGACCCAGCAGGAGCTGTGCCAGATCCTGGCAGTGTCTGCACCGTGCACTGTCCCCAGTGTCCCCTGCCTCCCCCTCCGCTCCCTGCATGAGCTCTGGGCACTTCCCAAAGCTGTCTGCTCCGTCACACCCATCTGTGCTGCCCCTCCACAGCAGCGTGCACGTGTCTGTCTGTCTGTCTGTGGAGCCTGTCTGGGGTGCATGTCCCCCAGCACATCCCCAGCGTGACTGGTGCTTGTGATGGGCGTGTGGTGCTGGCTGGGGGACACGAGGGGACACCCTGTGCTGCTGCTGCTGCCTCAGTGACGCGCTGCTCTCGGCACCTCCCTTGCCTTTTACCCTGCTCCTGTCATTGCTGTGCCCTTCATGTCTGTCCAAGCACCTTCCCCGTGCTCTGCTCCTCTGGCAGCAGATGGATCCCATCCCTGCCGGCGTGGGGCACGGCATCCCAGGGATGCTGCAGGGCGGTCTCTTCCAACCCAACCATTCTGTGATCCTGTGATCCAAGGCTTGACTCGTTTCTTGACAAGGGAGCCAAGCCTGCAGGCGTGAGGAGCTGGTGCCATGACCTGCCCGGGCAATCCCATCCTCCTCTGACACCCGCACACGGTCTCACATCCATCTCCCCTCCTCCTAACAAACTGAGCCAAATGCTGGCTGTCTGCTGCCTCTTTCCATCTCTGCCTCCTGGGAGCCTGGCTCTCCCCCCACAGGAATGAGAACTCTGGTCTGAGGACCCTGTGAGGTGCTCAGGTTCTGCCACCAAAAGAAATGGTTTACACACCTGAGCTCTCAGCACAAGTGCCTGTCTCTGTCCCTGTTTCCAGGGAGTGGGACCAGGAGTGCGCTCTGGCAGCAGCACCTCTCATACACTTGAGGTGCCCCAGCTCACGTGGCCTTTTTGGGTTTGGCTTGGGTTTTCCTAGATGTGAAATCCATATTTTTTTCTTTTAGATTCTGAAAATGAGACCATCAGTGAGTGACACGTGGCCCCCACAGCTACGGTGCCAAGCGCAAGGCCCTGCCGCGGCCAAGGAGGAGGAAGAGGAAGATGGGAAATGATTTATCGTGTGTGAGGAATTCTGTGCTGTTCTGGTCCATTCAACGCTATTTTGTAACTTCTTTCTAATAATTTTTTTATTTATAGTTGGAAATACAAAACTGTTATGCAATAAAAAATAAAGGAGAATTATTTTGGGGGAAAAGGATTTTGTTCCAAATTGTTCCCTTCTGTTGTGAGCCAGGTTTCCGTGAGCAGCAGATGGAGAAGAGGGAGGAGGAGGAAGAGGAGGAGGCACTCCTTCAAATGCTTTTTGTTTCACACAGTTAATTGTCATTTAAGCAATTTTCCAAGTGATAAACTAGGCACGCATACAAGAAAGAGAAGATCCAGTTCCATTTAAATTTCTCACAGTTCTTTTTTAAAGATGAGATTCTATTTTAAATCAACTTAAGTTAAAAACCTCCGGATCCTGCACTGGAGAATGAGTCTGCTTGTCACTTCCCTTTTTACCTCTCTCTTTTTCTCATAGACTGACCAAATTTTCTTGCCAGATTTAAATACAGTCTCAAGTCACTGCTGATTTTAAATGTAAGACTAAAATCCTCCCAAAGATGAATGGGTAATTGGAGCCATTTTTAAGACTCTAAAGTGCCTTCAATGATCTAAACCGATGCAGTGAGGGTTTCTTTCTCTGGGTTCCCTGGCGGTGGGTTTCAGCTGTCTCCTGGACTGAGGTGATGGACAGAGTAGTTCATAGCAATAATCTCATGAGTAACCATTTATCCAAGGATTACTCACCTGGTTTTCAGAAAGCTGGGTTAGCATTGTCCTGAGAAGTGGGAAAATGCTGCTCCTGCTGTTACATCTGGGCCCCAAAATCTCTGCACCCATGGGCCTCCCTTGCTCCTCCTGCATTCCCAGCCCAGGCTGTTCTCACCCTTCTCTTGTTTTTGATACCAGAGCCACAGGAGCCTCCCCTGCCCATCAGCCTCTTGGTACCACCCTCCCTGCAGCTGGAGCCAGCCATTCTTTTTGTTGTTACCTGCTATGTCTGTCTTTTCCAAATCTTGGTTCTAAATAATAAATCTTATTTTGATGCTGTTGTTCCCTATTTCCTTTCCACCGTGGCCCCTCCTATCCACCAGCAGGGGTGAGGAGAGCACAGGTGGAGGTACATGTAAAGCTCCAGAACCATTCAAACACTTGGTTAATTCAGAATTTTTAAGCCCCAGGGCCAAAATATACATCTTTATGGTAATTTTCTGCTTCTCTGGGGTGCCTCCTGCCCTGTCCTTTTCTGAGGAGATGGGACGGATCACCTGCATAGGAGCAGGTGCTAGATCATTGCTGGCCCCTGCTCACAGGAGGTACCAACCTCTGTCCCTTCCCTAACTGGGGGGAGAAGGGGGACCCAGGTGAGTGGGGCACCTTCCTGTTTCTCTTTTGGTTGTTCTCTTTTCCCTGGCTGGGAGGGCAATTCCCTGCTGGGTGGGGGGACAGGGGTGTCATGTCCCTGAGGTGCTTCTCCAGGGATGTCACTACTCCAGTGATCATAGAAATAAAACACTGTGCTGTTGTCTCAGATTTTTATTCCCAAGTTTAAAAGATGGTTTTCTCCAGGGAAATCCATTGCAGGATCTCCTGGGGTCCAGAACTTTCCTTCATCAGTTGTTCTGAACACTTTGACTGCTTCTACAGACCCTTAAGCTCCTCCACAGCTGCAGGAAACCAAGGGGCCTCTGTCTCCAGATTAGCATTTTATAAATATTCTATTAATATTCAGATTAAAAATAAGGATTAGCACCAGGATTAAAGCTCAGGAGTGGAAGCTGCGGCAAGCCCTGGCTGGTGGCTGCTCCCCACATCTGCCCAGCCCACCTGGCTTTGGATAATCTCTCCTCTGAAGGACTGCTCCCTCTGGGAGGGTACCCCTGTGTTTGCTGCTTGCTTGATGGTTTGAAGCTGCTGAGGGTCCCTGAGCTCCTCTGGGATGAACCACTGAATGGGATCCTCTAATTCACCCCATTATTCTGTGAGGGGGAACGGGTTTAAACTAAATAAGAAAAAATTTAGATTGGATTCTAAGAAGAAATTGTTCCCTGGCAGGGTAGGGGACCCTGGCACAGGGTGCCCAGAGCAGCTGTGGCTGCCCCTGCATCCCTGGCAGTGCCCAAGGCCAGGTTGGACAGGACTTGGAGCAGCCTGGGACAGTGGTAGGTGTCCCTGCCCATGGCATGGGAGTAAAAGGATGGCTTGGAAAGTCCCTTTCAACCCAACCCATCCCAGGATTTTGTGGTCCCAATATTTCATCCCAGCCTCCCTGCTGGAGAAGAAGGGATGTTAGTACTGGGGGTTTATGGCAATGGAAGGAAATTCTTGCAAATGTTGAAAGCACAGCTCAGTTCCCTGCAACTTCAGGGGCTGCTGAAGCAGCAAAGTGTTTGGGTGGCTGCTGATTTTGAGAGGCAGGGAAGACTGGAAATGTTTCAAATCCCCTCTGGATTTTTGCAGTTTCTGTAAGACTTTAGAGGATATTTAAATGGTTTATTTTCCATGCAGTTTCTCAGTGCTTTAGTTGTCTGAGCAGGAGAATATCTGGAATTAAAAGAAGGAATACATTTGGTGAGAGACTGATGTGACACCCGGGGGCATGTGGAGATGTTTAAAGCTGCTGCTGGATGTCTAACAGGGATTCCAGAGGCTTGTAACACAGTCATGAAGATGCAGAGCCAGTTAAAAATGTCAAACATGGCAACATCATTCTCAAATGTTTGCTGATAGCATGTGAGCTGCTGGACTCAGTGGTGTGTGCTTTGGGAGAGGATGGCATGGGGACTCCATAGGGCTTTGCAGCCCTAAACCTTTTATTTGGGGACCCTTTGGGAGGTAACTCGTGTTTGTTATCCTTCTTAGAGCATGCATTGTTTTTTTAAAAAACCCCATAAACTGGCATCAGTGGAGCTCTGCATTGCTGTGCTGCCTATTGGTGGCAGAATGAACTTTCTGTGTCCAAAGATTGGCTGGTGATGCAGGGGTGGGAGAAGGCATCTGGAGAAAGACACCTTCCTCCCAACACCCTCCCTGTGGGTTTGCTCTCACACATGAGAAGTGATGAATACCTTGAAAACCACTAGCAGTATCCCATTTGCTGTTGCAGTAGGATTCTAGGAGCATATTTCTGTATTTATTTTATATTTATTCAACAGTGAGAGATGTTATGAAGAAGCTGACAATTAGCAATGCAGAATATTTCTGTTTACTGATGAGCAAAGACAAGAAAAGAGACATGCAACTTGTAGAATTCAGCAGTTGGAGACTTTTATTTGTCCTTTTCCTTCTATTTCCTTCCACCTACTGGAAGGTGTCCCTGCCTCTGGCAGCGGGTTGGAATTAGAAGAGCTTTAAGGTCATTTCCAACCCAAACCATTCTGTGATTGTATGATTATTCTTTACTGTTTTCTACCACTTCTTATTACAAAAGCAGACAAGGAAAATTGTTTGGAAATCACCTGGCTGGATGGTTTCTTCATGGGAAAACACAATTGCTGTAAAGCAAACCCAAATCCACTTCAGCTGGAGCTGACACTATGAGCAGGTTTCCTGTGTCCAGCTCCAGCTGAATTAGAAGTGCCCAGAGTGGGGCTGTGTCCCTGTCCCAGAGCTGTGGGACCCTCTCAGAGCTGGGCTGGGCTCTCCATCAGTTTTGAATCAGCTCTGAGATGCTTTGAGTTACCTCTCTTCCCTGGGTGCTTCATCTGCATTTGCACACCTGTGGAGTTGGTCCTGTAGGGAAAATGCCTCAATTCCATGTCTTTCTCACAGCACTGTTTATTTTCTTTATTTAATCTCTCTGGGTAAAATTTTGGCTGTGCTCAGTATCAGCAGCTCAGGCTCTGGTGACAAACACAGTGTCCCCAGGAGTGATGGCCTCTGTGCAGGGCAGGTGGGACTGTGCTGGCCACCAGTGGGCAGGGGGGCGGGGGGCTCAGCTGGGTCAGGGGACCCCTGCTGGACCACAGTGGGGGGACAGCCTGAGATGACGTTTTCCTGATGAAAAAGCAAAGTTCCCCCTTTTTCTTTCCTCTGCTCCTTGTTCTGCAAAGCTGGAGCATCCCAAGGGGCTGTGCCCACCGTGGGAGAAGGGTCTCAGGAAGCTGGGGCTGCTCCATGGGGGCAGGGCTACTGGTAAGGGTACTCTGAAAAGGGCACTCTGGGTTCTGGAGGGGGTACATGCCTGCACACCCTGTGACAGTGTCATACCTGTGGCTGCCAACTCACCGCCCAGCCTGTCTCTTACCACAGAGTGAACCAGAGGGAAAGGCTGGGAGCAAACAGGGAATTTTTTAATTGTACTTTTGAATCAGATCTAGGACAAAATGTTCAAGATGTGGGCTGGAGTCTGGACAATTCCCCTGTGCCAGGCCAGGCTGGGATCCTGGGGGAAGGCAGAGGTGCAGCATTCTGTTACTGGCCTCCAACGATTCAAATTTCTATTTTTTAAGAAATCTCTGTGTTACATCCTGGCTTCAGAAGATACTGCTGTTACTGTTCATGAAATGAACAGTAACAGCATGGACATATGTGAGCTGACCAAACCTGTTCCCAAACACTGATTTTTGCAGAGGACTAGAACTGGAGCATGGAGTACAGCAGTGGCAGAGTGGGTTTTTCAGGACTTGTTTTTCAGGGTGGGTTTCTCCACCGAATGCCTGATGGGCCGGAGCTGGCTCTCTGTGGCAGCAGCCCTCAGCTCTTTGTCATGGTGATCAGCAATGCTTCACTGTTGTCATGGTTGCAGGGTTACTACAGAAGCCAAAGCTCTGCACAGCCCCTTTATTCATAGTTTCAGTGTATAAACTAATTAAGTCAACTGAAAGCATCAGTCTGTTTCCTGTGCCTTGTTTTTCTAATATGTGGGATCAGATAGACCTGATTCCTGCTGTCCTCCAAAATATCCAGTCTGACTCTGCTTCAGCTCCTTGGCTGAGTTTTGTACCTTAACACCAAGCAAAGTTCACTGATCATTTAATTGTCCAGAAAACTCCTTGCAACACTGAAAAGGTCTGTGGAAAATGTCTTTTGAGCTGCTAAGATGAGGCTGAGAGCCAGTGTGCTGCAGCTGTGCTGCATTCCTTATCACTGCTTTGCTTGGGGCTGGAACCCGGTCACTGTGTTTAGTTTCTGAGTTTATGCACTGCTGTGTAA